TGAATGCTTTTCCACAATTCGAGGGGATCTTCAATGGTGAGATACTCCTTTTTCAGGTCTTCGTGGAGGTGATGACGGAGGAATATCATGGCCTTTGCCTTATCTTGAACAGAAGCTTCATTTCCTTCAGAGATTGTGTCTCCTAGATTTTTTGCCGTAAGGTGAATTTTGGCATCTAAGGTCCATGTGAGAAAGTTTTCCCCGGATATGTCGAGTTCTAGAAAATCAAGTTTTGAAAGGTTGGACATTTTAACTACCAAAAAAACGTAGTAAGGTAAGTTAGTGTATATATATATATATATATATATATATATATATATATATATATATAATACATTCTTGGAGAACTTCAGGTTCTAGTTTCTAAGAACTAATGGCTCATCATGTTTTTACATCAATTTGGATTTATATGATAAATTTTAAGAGTAAAAAAAACTTTGAAAACATCTCCAAAATCAAAAACCACCATATCTCATTTAAAAAAAATACACCTTCACTAGTGTTATTTAAAAAAAATAGTATCTTGGTGGTTGTTGCTTATAATACAACAAGCTTTGCACTCCACTATATTTCTTTAAAATGCAATTACACGCATTAGTCACACAAGCTTTATTGTATTATAGTACATCGCATATAATGATGTCTCAAAAGAAGATAATTTAATGAAGAAAATTCCTTTTTTTATTTAGGAAGCGGACATTCAGATTCGAAATGAACCACGAAAATTTAATGCTTGGGTCAAATTTGAAAAATATCACGGAGCAATAAAAATTTTAATAACAATCGTATCATGAAAAAAATGGTAGTAATAACATGATATGATGTTTCGGTCAAAATTGCAGAATAGAAACAAGGACTATTTTAATCCATATGTGGATAGAAGCAAAAACTGCATAATAGAGAATTGCATAATAGAAGCATATTAGGATAACTATGTACAATTTCATGATAGGATAATCCATGATTGTAACCCTCTCTTTTTTTTATTTTTTTTTTAAGCAGCATGTAACTACAAAAAAAAAAAATTCCAAGCCCAACAAAAACAACAAAAAAAACAGATCTGGAATGAACATATGGTCCTGTCCATAACTTGTCTTTGCTAATCTCATCTCCGTTTTTTTATTATTTATTGTATTTAAAAAAAATTTAGAACAAATCCAATCATGTTAACCGTAAATCTGGTTTAGAAATCTGCTAATGATTTTTCAATATATGTATTTACAAATCTATTTATAAGATGATTGAAATTAAATTCTTTCCCTTAAAAGGGTCAAGTAAAGAAATCCACATAACACTTTTCAATCCCAAACAAATCATAATCTAGATCGAACAGAATATATTGTCATTCTTCAGATCAATTGGAGGAATACCTGGATTTTGGGATAGAGAATTGGAGAAGAAGATCCGGAAGCTTTGCTCTGTTCCTTTTCTGGTCGAAGAAGATGAAGTTTGGGCAGAGGCGGCGAGGCTTCAATTTTGGAGTCGATGATTGTGTCAAACCTTTGCTGACACTTTTTTTTTTAACCTCAGGCGGCCACTAAGAGCTTTGATTCACCGGCGGAGGTTTCGGCAAGAGAATAATTTGATGGCGGCCAGGCTTCAGCGATGCACAGGGGAGAGCCGTGAAAAGGAACGAGAGAGGCGGAAAAAAAAATTAGGGTTTGAGTCTCGTGCTGATAACGTGTTGTGAACTCTGTCGTTTATTCATCATATACGGGGGTATTTATACATACGCGGGAAGAGGTATAGTCTAGGTCAATAAAGAAACAAAATATTCTAAATAGAATAAGAAATATATCTGCCATATTTAACAGACACGAGTATATTTATTTATCAAATAAATAATAAGATTAATCAATAAAATTGATAAAATTTGAGCCATGAATAATGAATAATGGAATAAAAAAATAGTTTTAGGCGTCTTGGCGGCCTTGCGATAGGGTCGACAAGGGAAAGGGAGAAGCGCTGAAGCAGCAGTCTGATTTCCTCCACGATTCCTTTCTAATTTCATACTCCGTATGGAGTATTTCTTTGCGTCTCGCGACTTGTAGCAGCCAGCAGCGACTCAGCCTCATTCATGCGTTCAGGTTTCTGCTTTACACCGCCTTTTACTCCTTCAATCTTCATCCTGAATCTCATTTCCTTATGATTTGTGAATTGTGATTCACCATTTCAATACAACAATGCTTCAACTTGATTTTGGAGGTTTAATTCGATTTGATGTGTGGTTCTTTGAATTAAATAGATGTAAAAATTTATAAAAATATTTATAGACATATAAACTAGGGTTATTGAGATTTAGGGCCAGCCATGTTTCTTAAACCTACCTTTTTGTTGGAAAAGTTTTATGGGACGGAGGTAGTATAACTCTTAAAAAATGCTCCGTATTAAGTAAGTGTGGCTCAGGTGAGAATGATTTATAACGAGATAAAATGTAATGATACATTTTTAGTTCATCGCAGTGCTCATTTGTGAATACAGTAGTGCCTTTTCACAGTGGAAATTTATTTTGAAGACAACGTGAAATGAAAAAAATGTTAATTTTATCTAAAATAGACATTCAAATAATTAACAAAAAATCTCAGAAACTTCTTTGTATATTTCTGCCTTCACATTCTCTCTTGTAATTTTGAAAATTTCCTTTTCAGATTTGTATTCTTATAATTTTACTTGTTTTCCCAACTTTTTCACTTGTACATTTTTTATTGGGAGCAGCACAATTTTTGATCCAGGGGCATTCTTTTACTTTATCAACTTTTGTAGTAAGACTATATGAAAAAAAACACTGGAGTTCAAAAATGGGTGTTTATAGGATTGCTTCCGACAAGAATACTAGAACCCCCCACTGAGAGGAGATGGGTGTTTATAGGATTGCTTCCGACAAGGTGGTCGACGTGGCCACTACTCTGCCTACTACGTTTGGCACGCTGGGAAATGTCTATGACCAGCGACGGTTACAGAGGTACAAATGTGACACACGTCCTCCCTCCATTAGTTCTCAGTACGAATATCCTCGTTTGTCTTGTGGTTTGAGGCAGTTGTCACTGTTTGTCCTAGGGATCCAACCTAGTGCATCAACTCAAATAGGCTTCTCGCTTGTCAAGATCTTGTGCATGGTCACAATTTCTCTTGATATTTGCTAAGGGTTTGTTCTCTTTATCTGATGTGATTAGAATAAGTTCTGATCTAATTGTACTTGTATTTAAAGATGTTTGTGATCTGATCCAATAAGAATAAGTAATACTCCCTCCGTACAAAAATTTCTTTCCCGCTTTGACATGGCACGAAGATTAAGAAAAGTTAAAAAATGTAAAGACTTTACATGTTTTGCCCTTGATGTGATGGAATACAATGAATAGTGTAGAGAAAAAGTAGGGGTATAATGGCACATTCATTAAAAGCTTTTTGCCAAAATAGGAAACGAGAAAGAAATTTTTGGACAGCCCAAAAAGGAAAGTGAGAAAGAAATTAATGGACAGAGGGAGAGGGAGTAAGTAATAAGAATAAGTTGAAGAAGATTAGCTCAAATGTGGTCCGGCTCTTGGATCCACACAAATATTTACTTGGTTTTTACCATCCCTAGACCTTATTTGACCTTATTTTATTGGGCCAGATCTCCCATTGTGCCATGAGAACCTGGGGCCTTTACCCTAGCAAAATCAATTTTTTAAAATAAATGTTGTAATAATAAAGTTGTGCGGTTAATTGAAAATTAGGGTCGCAAACACAATTGATGTGGTGAACCTGTAAAATGAGTTAAGTTGTTTTCTGGATTGGTTTCGAGTTAACCTTTTATCGAAGTGAAATTTATCCCAAATAGAAAAAACATAATTAATTTATCTAAATAGGAGTATGAGTTTTGTACCAAAAATATAGGAGTTTAAGTTTTTTGATGTCCATATAGAGTTTATCAATGTTTTAATTATTAAATAATATTATAAATGTATCAAAATACCCTAAAACCATAACTTATTACTCTGTAATTTCTTTCTCCCCTTTAATTTCCACTTGTCCTCAAATTCTTTCTTTCCCTACCACCACTCACACCGGTGTCATCTCCTCCCCACCACTGTGCCATCCCCTACTGCCATCACATTTCCTTTAATATTGTTGCAGTGCTAGCCTACCACCACTATGCATTTTGGACATTTATCTTTTGCATATACTTAGAGCATGCAGATTATGCAATTGATGAATGCAATTTAATAATTCTACAATACTCATTTCATTATTAAAAAATACTACCTGTCCTAGTGTAATTATACAGTTTGACTTTTTGGAGCCAAACTGGAAGAACTTTGGACTATAACTAAATAAAAATTGTGCATATTAGTATAAAAATAATTTCATTAGATTTATCTTATTGAGAACTTTTAAAATTTGATATCATTAATGCAATACAAATTGAGAGTAATTGAGTTGACTCAAAAAATTCAAACTGAACGAATACATTGGGGTGGTGGGAGTATTTTTTTTATTTTTCTATTAATCATTAATGACACTTCGAATCCATAAAAGAACACAAAATAAAAACTTGAAAATTAAATTGTAGAATGCATACATTTATATTTACATACTTTGATAGTGCACATTATAAAATTAGTGTATGCACATGTATAAGTTACATAATGTTCATTGGATGTACATAAAACTATGTACACCCGAAGGTATGATACTCCCTCCGTTCAAAAACATTCTTCCCGTTTCGGTTTATGATGTTTGATTGAAGTTATTTTCAATTCAATTATTTGATTATATGTGTAAAATTAAAAAATAAAATTATATATCTAAAAACTACATTTAAAGATCTACAAAACAAGAAGTAACATGACTATATTATTTTATTAAATTACTTATGAAAATAGATAAAGAAAGTGATTCAAGTTTGACCATGTGAATAGTAACTGGAAGAAACTTTTAGGACGAAGGGAGCATTTTTCCATTTCAATGGATTTGTTCATATTTTGTTGGCACATGGACTAAGGAAAAAGAATAAAGAAAACAAATTTAACCCATAAAGTACTTTTTGAACAAAAAGATGTTTGCCAAACATGCCCTTTGCATAGATAAGCAAGTCCTCCAAATTGGAAAATGAAACCCATGTGTGAACCGCTTCATTTTACCTGTCGATTAGATCGATTTCTCACCTTCCACATCTTGTTTTGGAACTTTTTCTAGTTTGTGTTTTACATAATTTTTTGATGATGTAGATAAACTTTTAAAATGCTAAAACTAAACACTATCATTTATTAAATAGCATTTTCAAAACACTAAAGTGTAGTTGTTTCCAAACGTGCACTCAATTTCTCGATTTGGATAATTTTTACTCACACCAATCATTATGTGAACAGTGCAATGGGGACAGAATGGAATACTTCTGCTTGGGAGACTTGTGGGAGTGCTATGAAGAATGGAGTGCATATGGTGTTGGTGTTCCAATTGTTCTAAATAATGGCGAGAGGGTTACACAATATTATGTGCCGTATTTATCTGCACTTGAGATCTTCACCAACACTCCACAACCTACGTAAGATTTTCCTCACTAGCTCATAAATTCCTTGGTTTTCTTATGAGTACATTGGTATTTAAAAAGTAAACTGTGCTAGGTGTGCACCGCATTTTGCACTGGCACGTTGACACAAAAATGCCTGTGACACACAAGCATTTTGTGTTAGTGTGTGCCCGTGTAAAACATGGTGTACAAGTGGTGTACACCATGTTAGTGTACAAGTACGAAGTAACATTTTTGTTTAAAAATACTTTCTCCGTCCCTTAAAAATTGTCCTCATTCGAATAACGTGTAAGATATCACCTCTTTTAAATTGATTTTATTTATAAATTGGTAAGAACATAAAAAGTACAATTACATATTTGAAAACTATGGGTGTGTCCAAGGAGATCTTCCACTTGCAAAATATTCAACCTCGACATGTTTATGCATGCGCCCCAATATCACCCTAACATTTCTTACTCTGTATAGTTGCTTTGCATGTTTATGCATGCGCCCCTAGATCACTCCATGCTATCTTCAGGGGCCTGTCATAAGGGTTAGGCGCTCTCACCCACCCTTTTTTGCTTCTCTGATGCTGACTAAGTTGTTGCCTTGAGACTTGACATTCCACCTCTGCTAGTGTGTTCTTCCGAATATCGTTTTTCTTACTCATCTTTAGGGAGTATGTGTTAGGAAACCATCTTTGCTCTAGTGTCGTGGCAGAATATCATGTGGTAGCTAATGCCACAACTGAGAGGCATGTAATCTCCACAACCCCTTACTCAAGCTTCACTAACCACTTAACACCATAGCTTTGGTCTATGGCAAGAAAATCGGTGCATTCTACTTGTTTAACAATTCCATTCAACATCATTGCACATTGAGGTTGATTTTCATTTTATGCACGACAAAGTTTTCATGGGCCATTTTTTAGTCTTACATGTTCTTTTCTCCATGTTGTTTGTTGATATTTTCACCAAATGACTCTTGTCTACACTCTTCTTTAAGCTCTATGCAACTCTCGCCCTTCACTCTTTTCCTGTTGCATTTAGCACATATATACTCTCGGCACAACTCAACTTAACGTAGGGTTGGTAGGAGTCCGTCTAATATCATGCTTACTCTTCCTCGTTTCAACATCTAAATATACAAATTTTCACTCACTCCACCTTTACATAAATAACATGCTAACACAACTAGGATAATTATTGCAAACATAGTATACAACCACTCTTCTATTCATTATTGATAGATACACATCAGTATTTAACAATATTTCAGAGTTTTAACATTATTTACCTAATAGTTGGTGTAGTATGTAAGTTGATTATATTCTACTTTTATGGTTGGTTTTGATAACTAATAAAGTAATAATAGATGCTCATTACACAAATATGTCTTTTTTCTAGAAACTTGAAAGAGAATGAAGATGCAATCATCGAGGATGACACAATGTCCAAGAGAAGTGAGAGTGAGAAGTCATCAAGTAGTGACTCCAATAAAGCTTGGGATGACCTTTCTAATGATGGAAGCATTGAATATTGTGAAAGTCCATCAGTTCATGAAACCGAACGACTTGGTCACCTTTACTTCAAATTCTGTGATACGTGCTCCCCGTATTGGAGAATTCCTTTTGCTGAAAAGGTAACAATGATTACCACAACGTCACCAAAACCTTATGAAAGAGAAATAATCACCTAAAAAAGGATAACAGAAAATGAAAAAAATGATTTGGTTTTTCAAAATGATATTTGAAAATAAATTATTCTAGATAATTGTATAAACTAAAACTCCCCTCATCTTAATTCTTTTTGCATTGGAATTTTCACTATCTAATGTAATACTTTGACCAATGATAATTGTATTAATATATTGACAAGATTCTTTCGACCTTAGAAAAAAATGACCTGAAAATGAATGAGGCCTATACGGTGCTCTGTTGGTAAAATTGATAGTTGATACCCTTCCCAACTCCCTTTTCCCAGCACCGGGAGGAGGGGGGGGGGAGAACAAAGAGGGTAACACCATCAATTTTACCACTGCAGGTGCCCGGGTCATTCTCAGGTCTTTTTTTTAAGTCTATAGAACCGTGGTGTTAATATATACATATGAGTAATGCTAGATTCACAAATAAAACCTTCACAAAATCCACAAACTTATCATTCCTAAATTTAAGTTTCTTTTTTTTGATAATTTATTCCATGCATCTGTTTTTACTTATTTGTCTTTGTATTTAATCAAAATGAATACGAAAAATTGGAACAAAGGACAAAATTTAATGAAAACGTTTAAGATTCTTCAACCTTATCATATATTCTAAAGAAATTTGTGTATTGTTTCAATAATTGAAATGTGAAATACAAAAGAAAAAACAAATTAACACAACAAAAATGCTACACAAACAAAACAAAAAATTGTCTATTTAAAATATATACCCCTCTATATATATATATATGTATGTATAGATATATATATATGTGTGTGTGTGTGTATTTATATACGGAGTATATAATATGCACTGTATAATCCCACATGGAGTTTTGTGGGTCCTGGGATCCTGTGAGACTCTTTGTGGATCTGCCTATGCAACAAATAATGATTATGTAAATCAAAATCTCAATGTGGGTTAGTCTAGATTGCAGAACTTGCAGAACTATTTCCTGGACTTATGACATTAAAAAATATTGACCTGTCTCCTGCAAGTTGGATTGCTGTTGCTTGGTATGTGACCATTGTAATTTTTTCCATATAGCGATTATTTGTAATGGTTTCCTATTATACCTCTTCAAGTCACCATTTTTTAAAATTATTTATAATATATATTATTTCATCAGGTACCCTATTTATCACATTCCAATGAAGGGAAATTGCAAGAATTGTCTGTCAACATGCTTCCTCACGTATCATACTCTCTCCTCATCTTCACAAGGTATAATTTTTATGAAATGTTATATTCAACAGATAGAATAGTATTATATTTGGTCTAATCTTTCATTGAAAAAGTTGATAGAGCCATTTAGGATTTATATAGGATATATCAGAGCTTTATAAAATAATATGATAAGTAATAACATACACTTAAATAGAAAGGATCTTTTGAAAGGTGCTCCCCACTCCTCTTAAGTCTCCACATTCTCATCAAAGGGTCCAGGCTAGGGATGAGCATTGGGCCGGTTCGGTCGGTTTCGGCCCAAAACCAAAATAACCAAAAAAAATTGATTTACAAAAACCGACCAAACCGAACCGACACTGACTTTAGAACCAAAGAAACCGACCGGCTTTGGTCGGTTTTTATTAACCGAACAAGTTGGACGGACCGACGGAGTTGTTGAGAAACACTTCCTGTTGGCTCTTAAGAAACTGAAGGAGAAACTGGACATGGCAGATGAATCATGAGAGGCTGTCTGGGAAATAGTTCAATATAAGAGTAGTAGGATTAGATGATTGGGGTTTGCTTTCTTCCAAAAGCTGCTGGAAAACTAAAAATTAGGATATCCAAAAATCACGGTACGCCTTCAAGCACTAAAACCTGAAGAGTTCAATCACCTTATAACCTAAATCAAAGAATAAACAATAAATTCCAGGGACGAAAATGGAGAATCAAAGCAATCAGGAAGGAAAACTATTGCTTTCCAGGGGTAAAATATTCACCAAAGTGATCTGATCGGTTCTATTCAGAAGCAACAACTCCGTCCAGCCTACATCACTCTGTCCAACTACTCCGATTACAAAGGACACGATTTATTCCTCTTGAAATTTGGAGTGGGCTGACTATATGTTATTTGGGCTTCAAAGTGAATCATTTTAATTTATTAAACATGCATAAAATATGGATCATGGTTATTTGGTTAACCGAATAAACTGAATTCAAGAACTGAAACCCGACCAAATAAATGAAGAAACCGATATTTGAACATTGGTAACCGAAATCGAAACCAATTTTTCGGTCTTCGGTTTGCGGTCGGTTCAGTTAATTTGCTCACCCCTATCCAGGCATATGGTCAAGTGGGACAAGTTCAAGAGCAACTAAGGGGTCCATGTGGGTAGAGGACCGATTAGAGGATTGGTTTACCCTTTCCACAAAAGAGTATGAAGATGATGAGGAAGATGATGGTTGGCCGGGTTGGAAACTCGACCCACAAGACTCGTCAAAAATATTCTAACTATCACGGGAAGACATAACTAATTTCACCTTCCTAGAGAATTAAAAGGATCGGCTTGAAGGACTTAATTGGAAGGCTAACAAGACTCAGAGGACTTGAGGTGTTATGGTCAACCAGGTGTTGCTATGAGAGTGAATGGTGTAAAAATTAAGGATAAAAAGGGGAGAAGGGGTTTATATAAGGGATAAGGACATCGAGCCCCACATCCAGCCAGTGGTACGGACAAATTGCAAAGTGACATGGGGCATTAGGTAAGGATTGTCCTCAAAGCATCCTTATTACTCTATGGGGATACAAAACGACATGATGTTCCTCGAGTATTTTCGACTATAAGTGAAAGGGAAGCAAAGAAATTTGGTTTTGAAGATTAAAATTCAATATAGATGGATGTAACCCAACATTGACCTGATAAAAAGAATAGCCTTGGAAGTATAGACCAAGAATCTTGGTAAACGATGACCATGCAATGTTTATGTTCCAAGGAAACATTTTGATTGTCATCATGACTGGGAATGTGATTGATTTTGTGCCCAGTCATCTTCCAGGAGCTTGACCTGTCTAGATTTACGGATTCAAATCAAGTTATTTACCAAATGTCATTCTTGGCCAATGATGAACCTGCAAGACTAAACCGAGAATAAGAGCATAGGGGCCTAGTTGAACTGGGACCCATCTGCTATAAAACTAGATCAAACAAATAACGTGTGACATCACTTTGGGGTCACTAAGATGTCAGAGTCAAAGTTTTAAGGAGTAAAATCCAAGTGCAAGGGCACAATCATATAAGGGATTTATCCTCATTGATCACATGGCTACAGTAAGGTCACATGTAATGATGTTTCACTATTCATCTATAGATACTCGTAAATCCTCATTTTAAAGGGATTCAAATTTCATTTTCTGCATTGTCTTTTAAGCTCTAAGCTTTAACATTGTCGATACTCTACTATAGCTTTTCTGGTGACTTGTGTGTTTTACTTTGATAATTAGTCTCTCGAATTACCTTGTCATCCTTAACCCGATCTAGAATAGTAAGGGGGTGTTCCTCTATGTTCGCGCTTATTGACTTATTACTTATAAACAGTTTTTTACTTATACGTTGCTTATAAGTTAAATATTCTTTCGTGGAAATAAATTAATTAAATGATAGATAAGTCATTTGGGGATATTCATAAAAGGTAAGGGTTAGTTTTGTAAATAATATGGTCAAAACAGATAAACAAAGAAACTGGCTTAAGAATAAGTAAATAAGACCTATTTGGTTTTTCTGACTTGTAAGTAGCTTATAAATCAGCTTATAAGCATAGAGAAACACGTCGTCAGCTGACTTATAAGTTAAAAACTGCTTATAAGCAATTTTGATCAGTATATAATCATAGAGAAATACCACTAAGCCTGATGAGCTAATTTACACCATTAACTAGTACCAATGCTCCCGAAAAATCTAAGCTCAAGTTGGATATGCTCAAACAAGCAGAGGCAAGCAGTGTATACTAATAATTAGGTCCAAGGTGGAGGTTGAGGTTTCTATTTATTCTATCTTGTGGAGGTTCGATTTGGGTTGGGTAGGTCTTTTAGAAGACAAAATTGTGGTAGTGGATTAAATGAGCAGTTTGCCCAGTTTTAATTAATTAAGCTCATTTATGTCTTCATTTTGGAACAAGTTGGTAACCTTAGTAATCTTCCTATAAATGTTTTCTCGGGTTCAATTCACCGTGGAGGCAAGATGGATGGTTTGGCACCTTGATACAAACTCTTTGGTTAGATCAATTGTGGATGTCTCACTTGTGGTAGTGAGGGATCTCGGAGCTACTCAGAATTTGAGGCGCCTGAAAGATCAATTTTGAGTAATGTGCAATCAGTATGTGATGATTCCTTGTGTGCAGTAATGTACACACTATGTAGGAACTTGAGGGATGAAAGAGTTCTAGGTTTACCTCTTCTATCATTCTTGGATTGGGGTATAAGAGGCTTACAGTTAGTTTGGTGCAAGTCAGGAAACCTATTGCATCAAGAATATGTAACTTGAAATATCGATATAATTACATACACGTCCATGTTTTCTGTTAAAATGAAGCATATATATGCATTATAAATATGTTGCAATTATTTTTGAGAAATTTTATTAGATCAATTGATGGCCAGTATTTGTCTTTCCATCATCTTTGATGGAGCGAAAAATTCACTATTTTTTGGCTTTGGGGTGTGACGGAATAAAGCAAAATGGATCTTTAAACTGTTTGCGGTTCTTTAATTAGTCAAGTAGCAGTTAGTCAATAAATGCAACTTCCGACGTTGAGCTAGGGGTCTCTTTGGAAATAGTCTCTCCACTTTCGAGTAGGGGTAAAGTCTGCGTGCACACACCCTCTCCAGACCCTACTCTTGTGGGATTAACTAGGTTGTTGTATTTGTTTTTATGTCTCTATGCTTATTTTCTTCGTATGTATTGCAGTTAGTATATGTGTGCACACATACATATGCATATATTCATATATACATTAAAGTGCATTTGACTATTGATCCATTTACTCTTTTCTCATTAGTTTCACTTGCAAAATAAATAGCAGTTTTTAAATCTGATGAGGATGAAAACAAAATGTATGACTTGGTGAATGAAGAGGGAGGCGATTTTGATAATAGTGAGGATTCTCTTTATCCCTTTGGATTGGCCACTTATAGACTGGAGGAAGACATTTGGATGGATTCACTAACATATGATGACTATGAGACAATAGTCGATCTCTATAGCGCGGCCGACTCTTGGTTAAAGCAACTAAACTTCTGGCATCATGACTTCAACTTCTTCACTTCTCAGTTCTCTTTCGAGGGATTCTCTTCATAATTCCATTCACATCATCGACGTGATTTCATGTATGCTTTAGAATATATCCTAAGTTAGTATCATTATTGAAACAATTGTTTTTTAAGTACTTTTGACCATTAGTTGAACTTTGTAAATGTACACATATGTTATGTTACTTGAGTTTTTTGCTTTGTTTGTCAATCTTATTGTGTATGTGTGTTGTGCGTATTAAATAGTGCACTAGTAGATATGATCATTATCTTACTAATATTATGTACTCCCTATTTGAAACAATTAGATTGAAGAAATGTTGAGTTTAACTTGTTTTGTTATCTACCAAGTACCAAATATTGATCCTCCCTCCGGTAAAAAAATGTCACGCTTCATTATTTAAAAATCACAAAATTTTTTGTTTGTTTGTGTGTTTTCATTGATTTATTTGATAAAATAAAATATTCTTATATCTTTGAATGAAATAAAAATTACAAAATTTTTTGTTTTGTAGATTTTTTGATATAATTTTTTTAAATATGTAAGTTTTAATTTTTATTTCTATATCTTTGAATGAAATGAATTGAAACACCTTAAATTTTGCTTCATTTTGCGTAATGTTAAATTCTTTTTGCAAGAGATGAAGTAAGTGAATTGGCAATATTAATCATTTGGATCAATTGTTTATGGTGCAATCAATGGGCGTAATATGAAAAATCTAATCTATAACTTCAACAATGTCAATTTGAGTGCTTAATTTTTTTCATAAAGGAGCAAAAAAATTTGCACTACATATATATTTCTAAAAAAAATATAAAAGGTTAATTTTTTGAAATATCTATAAATAGATGATTATGTTATCATGATTTCTAACACGATTAGTACGAATTATACAAATATTATCATTTTAGAAATAACATCTATATTTTCTAATGATGATTGTTGTGAATGATTGGTTATTGATTTTTTTTTGTTTTTAAAGCAAATAAATCTAGAATAAAAGTTATTGAATTTATTATACGATGATGAATTAATTACTAATTTTAAGAGTGATTATGGTAATGTTACAAAATTAATAAAATTATTACTCCATGTAACCATTTTAACCGCTTATTTGAACCAGATTTGATCCATTAGAGCATTTTCAAGGTATAGTGTAAAAATTGATAGTTTAAGTTTCATTTTACACCATCAATAGTGTTTTACATTTCTATTTTTTTATACTTACTCCAAGGGTCTCTAATCATATCTTCTTTATAATACACTTTTTATAATATTTTATTGTTTTAGGTTACTTATTTTAAATAATTTTTGTAAAAAGACGTAATAAATACTCCGCACATTTGATAGTTTAATTATAATCACATTTATTTTGTATATAATTAAATCAAATCAATTTCTTATGCTACTGCTGGGAAAAAAAATTAAACAAATTAGAAGAGCAAAATAGAGCAAATATGGACGGATATAGATCCTTCTCTCAAATCTATCTTCAACCCAAAATCTATTTTTATCTCTATAGAAAATCTATCTACTGGCAATGTAAATAAGATGAAGACTCCAACGATGCAAATCAGATGAAGACCATGGCATGAGCTTCAGATACATGAAAATGGAGAAGAGGACAAGAAAAAAGTGAAGAAAAGACAGTAATTTTTTATTCTTTCCACACTCTATAGTGAACTGGCAAAAATACAATTTAGAAGTTGCTTTTTAAACAACATTGCATTTTACCACTTGGTTTACCCTATCCATTGGAGTGTTGAAAAGGTAACATTAAATTGTATATAAGGTATATGGACCATGCTACATTTACACCAAAAAATGTACCCCACTTGTACACCACAGTTTTGCACAAAGATTTTGATGATTTATACCGACACTATTGTTGGTGCGTTAACAAAAATTTACACGAACACAAATGTTAGTGCGTTAACAAAAATTAGTTTTACACTAATACAAAATGTTGGTGCAAACCTACGGGTACAAATTAGAGTATAAATGTTGGGTACACGTAGCTTAATCCAAGGTATTTGAAAAATGCTACCCATTTGTCCCCCACCCCCTCCATCACCACAAAAAAGGGCAAGAAAATAAAAAAAAATTAAATAAATAAAAAAATAAAAGGAAAATGCTAGGGGTATACCAAAAGTGTACCCCGAACATCTCCCACCCCCTCTATCACCACAAAAAAAAGTAAGAAAAATTAAAAAAAAATAAAAGTTAAAAAAAATAAAATGAATGGTAAAGAGAGGGGTGGTGTATATTTGGGGTATACCTTTTGGTGTACCCCTAGCATATCCCAAAATAAAATTGTATGGTGGAAAAATGGGTGGGGGACAAATGGGATATACCAAATGGTGTACCCTACCATTCCTCTTACAAAATACACTACACCTTGCTGGTAGTTGTATAAGTTCATATCCAATCAGATATCAGTTATTTCGGATGGCCGTAGAAAATACAGAGTATCAGATAAAATCAAGAGCAATGCTAGATGTACACCACCTCATTCTCCACCACACATTTTTATTTGATTTTTGTTTACTTATTTTTTTTAATTTTTTTTGTTTTTTTAGTGGACAAGGAGGGGGTGGGGTACATATGGGATATGGTGGCATTTTTCTAAAATCAATCAGCAAATCCACACATTCGTCTTCTGGAAGAAGTTTTTCTCCGAGAGGATATGGCGGTTTTCACTTCACTACTCGCAGGAGGCCAGGCTTTTCTTCCGCAGCTCTCCACTACCGACAGCCCCGCCGCTCCTCTGTCCATTTCTCAATCAATTTGTGGTCTTCCTCCGAAGAACACTCATCGTTTTTCTCGCTGTTCATCTCTCAGGAAGGCTTCTCTTCTCGCCCCCAAAGTCTCTGTTTCAGGTGTGAGTGGCTCTAGTGCTGATGGGGTTGATCAGCGGCCTCGGGATGAAATCAGGTCAACCAGGGTGGGGTTCTACTACTCTTATTTATTGCTTGTTTATTAATCCATGTTTTTTTTGTTTCGATTATCGATGTGCATGTTTCTGGATTATTTTTGTTGTTAATGTTTTCTCTTAGCCAGTTAGAGCTCAAGAATTAGGCCGATATAAATATGAAATACAGGATTACTCTGCTGCATACATGATTACTACTTGGCTCAAGAATTAGCCAATTAGGGCTCTTGGGAAGGGGTTTTAGGGGGTAGGATTTGACCAAAAAAGCTGGTAAGCAACCTATTGTATAATAAACAAGATTATATAAAAAGGCTTATACGAAAAAATTGGATTATAATAAAAACAAGACTATTTCATATTAACTATATTGTGTGTATGGGATGAATCGAAGGTGTAAAGAAATTCAATCTGTATTTAACCTTCTGCTCTGTAAATAACCTTAGATGATATGGCAGCAGTTTGAGTTCTTTAGCATCTCTCTGTATGCTTTCAAATATTATTTTCTTGGCCATATCCAAAGTGCTCACTAATTAAGCAGCTCATTGTTTGGATCATGAAATGGAAAAAATTAGATGTTGGAACATTAAATTATTTCACTATGCCACTATTTCTTGCATTTGATATATTTTGGGGCATCTAACAATTTGGTATCACAAAGAAGTAGAGGTCTGCTGATTGGAAAGAGGCAACAATTCACTTTGAAAGAGGGTTGATTTATGAAGGCAAGGTGGAAGGATTTGTTAAAGGTGGTCTACGCATCCGGTTCAATTCCCTTGTGGGGTTTCTCCCCTTCTCAGAGTTGAGCCCCTCACATCAGTGTAAAGGTATAAAAGCTACATTTTTAACACTTCAAATGGAATAATTCTAAGCTTCTATTTAGTTTTCAACATTTAAACTTGCTTCTATGATAATCCCTCTGTCCCAATTTAAATTGCTTGTTTTGGTTTACGATGTTTGAGTGAAGTTATTTTTAAATCATTTTATATGAAAAGCGATGTAGAATTAAAAAATAAGAATTATATATTTAAAAATTACATCAAAAGATCTACAAAACTAGTGGTGACATGACTATTATTTTATCAAATAACTAAGGAATATAGGAAAAGAAAGTGATTGAAGTTTGACCATGTGAATAGTAAACATGCAATTTAATTTGGGACAGAGGGAGTACAAATTTATGGACAAGCGTGCGAATGAGATAAGGATAGCAATCTTCGTTGTATAAGGCTATGTGTAATGGCGGGGCTTGATGGTGTGCCACGTAGGTGTGTGAGTAAAAATATGTGTTATGGGGGGGGGGCTTGATCACCAAGTGATAGAGTGGATGTGTAAAATTTTTTAATTGGTCGAGGGATATGTGTGTTAAATTTTGATTGGTTGGAAATATTGAAAAAAAATAAAAAAGAAAAAGGAAGGGGGGCATTTGGCGTGAGGGCCATCACTTTCCCAAGGGCCAAGACCTGTCACTTTGGATGTGTAATGGAAAAGGGGCGTGAGTGAGGGTGGTCAAGCCCCTCCTCACGCCCCACTGTAGATAGTCTATGTATTAGTTTCTTATAATTATTAACAATTTCCTATTAGAATTGGTACTACATTTTAATTCATATTCATTGAATCAATAAAGTAATAGATTGGGACTCTATTTATTGCTCACCAAGACTATTTGAGCATATTAAAATAATTAAATAGGCTTTACATTCATCAATAGTAGATATGATTGCCAACTTAATTACATAGATGTTGAAAAGATCAAGTCTTTCTAGGTTTGCATCACAGGTGCAACTCTTTCTATGTAGGCTATCAATGGAGTTTGCCCTATCCTTACCCCGCCCCCAACATTCTATTGAAGAAATTGTTTTTTTAGGCACCATGAGGGTGAATGCCTTAAATTTTTCATGTGTGCACGATGCAGAATATTCTATGAAGTTGAAAATTTTAAGTGTACTTTTCACTTGTAGTTTGATTCTTTGTTAGGAACAATCTCATGTGTTTTATGATCCAAAGGTGTCTTCTAATCTAAATCAATCCGAATAATGGATGTGAATTTTTATGGTGGTTCTATACTATACATGCAAGGTCAATTATTGGTTTCTCAGTCATTTTTCTCATTTGTGTTATGCTTATGGAAAGAAAATGAAATATGAGTTACTACGGAGTATACAAGAATGCTACTAAATCTTGGGGTTCAATTTTATGTGTGTGTGTGCCTTCTACTTCATATCTGATAGTGTCAAAGCACCTTTCATAGGGGTATGCATTTCTGAGAAGTAGTTTGGTTTCATGCCTGGCAGATCGACTACAGAGGCCATTCACCTCGTGCGGAGGTTAATGGAAGAGTATAGGACTAGGAAGGACCTTCATATGGTGTTTATTGATCTTGAGAAGGCGTATGATAGGGT